ACTGGGAGATTTAACTAACCTGGGAGAATTAACTAGAATTAACTGGAGAACTAACTGGACATTAACTAGAAACGTGGAGTTTCTCTCCTTCACCTGTAATGGGAAGTGGGTTACAAACTCAGATTTTCACAGGGTCTGAGAAGGACCTGTGCATGTATGCAGCAGGCTGATGTGGAGAAAGGGGAGTGGGGAGAACCGAGTAACCAAAAGACCCACGCCCACCCCACCCCCACCCATCTGAAGAAGGCAGCTGCTAATCAGCTCTAGATAATGACTGGCAGGCAGGAGATAGAGGGCCAAAGTGCCAATGCTTATGATTTTTTTTTTAAGAAAAGCCCCAAATTTGGCTCTTTATGAGAATCTCCCAATTTTAAGTATTGATAACTAATTAAAATTAAAAGCAAACAAACAAATTAAAAGGATCAAGTAAAAAAGTACATGAGCCAAATCAGGCCCAAGTTGCCAATTTGCCACCCCTATGTCAGATGATTTTCAAGGTCCGTTCTAGCTCTAAGATGCGATGAAAAAGGCCAATAACTTCTTGCTAAAAGGCAGGAAGCCATTTATCTCCACTCATCATTGAAACTCATCATCTCTGCTTCCATTAGAGTTATTCATTGGTCTCAGGGGACGATGCCACCCCGAGCCTCCAGGTTCTCACTCACACAGAGAAGAAGGAATTACCATGCCACACCGCAGTGAGTGACAGATGTAGATACAGGGGAGAGAAAAGCAGACCTGGGTTTAATTATGTAAATCTATGACTATGCTTTAATAAGGCACTGCAATAAAACTGTCATAACTGCCAAGTTTGGGAAATAGGATGAGCAAGGTTTTCATTCCTGGCACTATATTTGGGAAGAAAAAAAGGAAGAAAAATGCAGAAGAGCTGGTTCATCTTTGAAAAGCTTCAGAAACACATCAGGGATTCCTGAGCTTCTTGCTCCTGCCAAGTGGCATTTGCAGTGACAACTGGTGTCGAAACCCCAGCAGCCCACACAGAACTCCTTGGGAAAGGAGAAAGCTGAAGTTTCAAGATTGACGTTTTCTAATGAGATCTCAGAGAGACCGAACTTTCTATCATCACCTGCCAACTATTCCTCAAACTAGTCAGCCCTCTCTTTTGCCTCAACCCTGCTTCTTCTGCCTGTTCTCAGAATGTGACAAAAGGTGACAGGGGCTTGGTGGTGGCGGGATTGGAAGTGGTGCTGGGTGAGTTCCTCCCCATCAGGAGGTGGAGGCTGGAGGGCTGCTACCCTTATGTTAACTATGCAAACACATGTGTTTTTTTAAAATTTAAGTATTTAGAAAAACTTTCCATCTTCATATTATGGGGCTAGGATTTTCATGGCCCCGGGGCTCTATTGGTCACAAACAACGGAGGTCCCGTCTAAGCAGCTAAGCCAAAAGGGCCCATGTGAAAGGAGTTTCTAGAGCAGGTGTTTTGTCCTTGATAGACATGCTGTTAGATCTCTTTCCAATGAAGAAAACTGAGAGGGCAACCCCCTTTCCCATTTTTTCAACAAATCACCGAATAACTTGCATGGAAAAAGAGAGAGGAAGAGTGAGAGGGAGGAAGAGAGAAATTATAGACGAAAAGAGTCTTCTGAGCCGTATCGATGAATGAAATGTTTATGGACCTTATTTGGATCCTGAATTAAGCAAACTATTAAAAATTTATATGCCAATTAAAGAACTATTAGGGAATATTAAGGAATTATTGTTAAAATTATGTGTGATAATGATATTGTGGTTCTGTTTTTTTTTAAAAGAATCTTTATCTTTTAGAAATGCATGCTGAAATGTTTATGGATAAGATGATATAATATCTGGGATTTTAAAGAAAGTATCTGGGAAAGGAAGAGTGTGGTGACGGGCTAGATCCAGCCTGTACTTGTTGGCAAGAGCTGATGGTTAAATTCTTAGGTGAGCTAGTTGGTAAACAGTCATTATTGAAAATTAAATTCTATAAACTTACAATTAAATAAAAAATATTTTTATAGAGATAATAAATGCTCTGAACTTACCACTTCCTAGTTATTTTATCACAGTTACTGTTATTTATGCTCTTGAAATTGTTCGATCTATTGTATCTGTATGGTGGGAATACAATATAACCGTGTACTCCTGCACATCTGGTCCCAGTATGCATTCAGTACCATTACGTGAGCAACTTGAAGTCAGCCAGAGAAATTCCAGAACACTACAAATCAGGGGTTTCTCCAGGGAGAGCCAGTTGTTAGGCATCTACCACCACACCACTGGAGAAATGGGTGGGGTTTGGATGAAACAAGATCCCTCGTGAGTTGATAATTGCCTTGAAGCAGAGTGAAAGGAACGTGGGGGTTCATTACATTATTCTCTCTACTCTTAATGTATGTTAAAATTGTCTGTATTGAAAAATTTAAAGCAATGTGCCAGTTCAAGCATTCCCTTGAAGATATGAATGTTGCAGGATTGAGGAATCTGACAGGTGTTGAAGCTCCCATGGTACAAAGGAAAGAGCAAAGGTCACAAGGACATGGATTCCTTGACCTGCTCTGCTCCTAATGAGCTGTGGGACTTAAGGAGGTCAGTTAGAGCCTCTGTGTCTCATCATTCCTAAACATAGTTTGTACTTAATAAAGGTTTGTGGCATTCATGAGCATCAGGTGAATGTGAGGATGAGTTAAAAGACAGGCGAGATTGTGGAAACATGTTAAAGAAGAGCTGCAAGACGAGAATTACCCTTTACCACTAATTTCCATTTGTTTTAGAAAAAAACTTCTGAAAGATTATCTCCCAGAAGCTTTTCCTCCAGAGTAATTTTAGCTTCTTGGCTCATGATGGTGGATCTTTCTGGGGAGAGAATTATTTATGATTATGGAAGTCACTATAGCATAGAAGTTTAAAGTGCAGGCAGCCAAAAAGTAGAAATAACCCAAATTCTCTGTCAACCGATGAATAGATACATAAAATGTGGTATACCCACATAATGGAATATTATTTGGCCATAAAAAGGAGTGAAGTACTCATTCATACATGCTACAGTATAGATAAACCTTAAAAACATTATGCTAAGTGAAAGAAGCCAGTCACAAAAGACCACATTATATGATTCCATTTATGGAAATGAAATGTCCAGAACAGGCAAATCTATAGAGACAGAAAGTAGATTAGTGGTTGCCTAGGGCTGGAGGATGGGGGGATTGGGAGGTGATAGCTAAGGAGGTATGAGGTTTCTTTTTGGAGTGATGAAAAATTGTGGTGATGGTTGCATACCTCTGTGAATATACTAAAACCATAGACTTGTATATTTTAAACGGGCAAATTGTATATTATGTGAATTATATCTCAATAAATCTGTCAAAAAAAAAAAAAAAGTCCAGGCTGACTGGGTTCAAATTCTGGTTCAATTTGCTTCTCAGCTGTGGGACCTGGGGAAAATTTTATTAACCTTTCTCTGCTTATTTCCTCATCTGTAAAATGAGAATAAAGATGGTACCTGCCTCATGGGATTTTTATGAAGATTAAATCTAATCCCCACATAGAATATATCAAAATGCTTACAGCGTGCCCTACATATGGAAAGAAGGCAATAAATGTTAGCTATTTTCATACACTTGTTACAGGGGAAGAATTTTCTCTAACAGCAGAGGAGAAGGGGAAAGAGGCTGCTGCTGTTTGTTTTTCTACTCTTTAAGCCTGGCCCGGGGAGGTGAAAATGTAACCAAACAGCTTCAGGTAACACCAGCTGTAGTGGGTTGAATAGTCGTCTCCAAAAGATATGTCTGTGTCCTATCTCCCCACCTGTGAATGTGACCTTCCGTGGAAAAAGGTCTTCGCATATGTTATTAAGTTAAGGATCTTGAGACGAGATCATCTTGGATAATCCCTCTGGGTCCTAAATCCGATGGCAGATGTCATTATAAGAGTAAAGCAGAGAGAGACTAGATACATAGAAGAGGAAGCCACGTGAAGATGGAGGCAGAGGGTGGAGTTTTGTAGCCTCAAAGGGATGTCTGGAGCCTCCAGAAGCTGGAAGAGAGAAGGAAGCGTTCTCCCCTTCGGAGGGTGTGCGGCCCTGCTGACACCTCGATTTGGGACTTCTGGTCTCCACACTGTGAGAGACATTTCTGTTGTTCTATGCCACCAGTTCATGGCAGCTCTCAGAAATTCACACACCAACGAAAGGTTACACTTCCTAAAATGCTTTTGTGATAGCATTCCCTAGAACATTCCCTCTCTCAGTTTGTGTATCAAAAATCAAATTTTCATTCAGAAAATCAAGCTCTTCGCTATAGACCCAGCCTGCTCTTCTCACCTCCCAAAGGCTCCTTCAGGCCTTTGCTCTCCTGGCTCGGGGGCCTTTAACCGAGGCAATTTCCAGCTTTTCTTCACTGAGCTCAAGCTCCACCCTGCACACTTTGCTTTTTCCCTTCTTTTTCCTCAAGGTACTCTCTGTTGGTGCCACCCAATTGCCTATGTGCTGATGTGCTGTCCTTTAGTATTTTCTGATTATGTTTGTATATTATGTCTCTACAACTAGAGAGTTAAGTTCTTGAGAATACAGAATCTTATATTTCTTTAGATTTTTGCCACGGTACATAGCATAGTGTTAGATGCATAGTAGATGAGTGAATAAAGTGACTCAAGGCAAGTTGGACATTCTGAAATGACAGGGAGAATTTATCTTTCTGCCTTCTTTCCTGATCCCTGTTTCTCTCCCTTTCCATTTTCAGGACTAGATCACTTTCCTAAGAGAGGGTAAAAGATATTAGGGATAAATGCTGAATAGATAGATTCTTTTTCTCAAGGATAGGCTCCTGGCACTAATAGATTCTTCCTTTGAAAACTTTTTTTTTTTTTTTTTTTGGTGAGGAAGATTGGCTCTGAGTTAACGTCTGTGCCATCTATCTATTTTGTATGTGGGATGTCACCACAGCATGGCTTGATGAGTGATGTGCAGGTCTGTGCCTGGGAACCCCAGGCAGCCAAAGCAGAGTGTGAGAGCTTAACCACTACATCACTGGACCAGCCCTTCCCTTTGCAACTTTTGCTTTATTTGGCTAACTCTCTTGAATCCTCCAACAGGGATGACAAAGGATAGCACATCAGATTTCTTATTACCTAAGCATTCTTTGTGTAGATGGATAAATAGCTTGATAAGAGAGACGCTGGACAGAACAGATCAGTGGTATGAGAATTTGCTCAGAACGTCATCTTCTTTTGCCTGAGTTCAGGAGCAAGCCTGTGACACTTTGTAGCTGTATCAGAAGGAACACTGGGCTGAGAGTCAAGAAGTTCAGACTCCAGTCCTGGGCCAGTCACTACCAGCTGTGACCTTGAGTGAGTCCTCCTCTCTTCATTTCAGTTTGCCCACTGATAAAATGTTAGAGTTGAACTAGGTGATCTCTAAGGCCCTTGATATCCTATAATGTTGGATCCCATTCTTATTCATCTGAATCCGATATGTCTAACATAGGCTGTATCAGTCAGGATCCAGTCAAGGAGCAGAAGCCACACTAGCTGTTTCAACAGAGGGAGGTTACTACCTGGAACTGGTCACACAGATGTTGGGGGGCTGAAATAGTAAGCAGAGAACTCTGAGGTAATGCAGAGTTGATAACTGCAGGAAGCAGCTCCCGCTTGTGTGGTAACAAAAGAAAAATGTTGGGGCTACCAGAACCTAGAAACACGGAGGAGGGGCCCCTCAGTGCTGGCCCAGACTTCAGAGGGAGGCACTGCTTCGCTGACGCTGTTACTAGGAGCTTAGAGCAGGGGCCTTGCACAGCTGGGACTCAGGTTTCTGAGGAGGAGGCCCTAGCGCCTCTGAGGGGGTGTGACGACGCTGTTCTGGAGCTGCCAAAAGGAGGTGGAGGCTGCGAACTGCTGCTGCTGGGGGGTGAAGGATCACTGATGGGGTGACAGCACTGGGAATAGTGACGGACACTGTTCTTCACCCTCCTTCTAGGACCTGTTTTAGCAGAAGCTAACATGGAGCCACCTGCCAAAGGAGAAATGCAGTTTTCAGTCCCAGCCTCGATATTAAAAGGTAGAATGGAGAAAGGTGAATTTGGAGCCAAGACAATAGCCTAATGACCAGCACGCTGATTTTATATTTATATTTTATATTTATTTTATGTTTATTCATAGATGTCAAACACATTTGTGCTGAAAAATTGTGTTCCTGCAATAGCAGCTTTATAAACTGTGTTTGGGGCAAGAATTCAAGGAGATTCACTTAGTCAATGAAAGGGTATTTCCTAAGAAGAGTAAGAGATGTGGCGATAAAAGAGAAAATGTGAAGAGGCAAACGGCAATGACGGGCCTGTTTTCCACTTGCCTTGATCACTTTCACATAACTCTTACAATAATGTGATTTATGCAGTGTGAGGCTGGCTCAATTTTGGACTTTATAGGTGGGTTTTTGGTTGTGTAAGTGCTTCATTCTACAATAAGAGATTCTCACCCAAAGGCAGCCCCTCTTTGGCTCTGAGGAAGGAGGTGCCAGCAGTTTGTGAGGTTGGGCACCTGTTGTTGGCAGAACTCTACAGACGTCTCCTGGGCTTCCTGTCCTTGGTTATTTGGTCCAACACTGATCTGGACACCGCAGAGAAGGGATTTTGCAGACGTAATTAAGAGTATGATAGGAAGATTATCCTGGGTTATCCAGGTGGGCACAATACAATCGTGTGACCTCTTCAAAGTAGAGAAATGTCTCTGGCTAGAGCCAGAGAGATGCGGCAGAAGATGAAGGCAGCTGGGGAGATGAGGCAGGAGGGGAGGCCAGAGAGATTCTGAGTGTGAGGAGGACTTGACCCGTTGTTGCCGGCTTCGAGGATGGATGTGGGGGCCCAGGAGTCAAGGAATGGGGGCAGTCTCTAGAACCTGAGAATGACCCCCAGCCAATAGCCAGCAAGGAAACTGACCTTAGTCCTACAACTGCCAGGAGCTGAGTTCAGCCAACAACCTGAATGAACTTGGAAGTGGATTCATCCCCAGGGCCTCAGGAAGGAGCACAGCCCTGCTAACACCTTGATTTTGGCATTATGAAAGTAGAGAACCAGCCATGCCACCTTGTGCCTTGGTCTCTGACTTGCAAAACCATGAAATAATAACTGGGTGTTTTTTTAAGCCACTAAATTTATGGTGATTTGTTACAACAGCAATAGAGAACAAATACTGCGCTAAAATAGTGCTCCAGGGAAATCTGTGTTTCTGTTGTTTTTTCCTAGTTGCTCCCTCCAACTGCCAGGTCATTGTCCCTGAGGCTGCCACTGGTGGCTGTCCTGACCTCTCTGAATTCCTCTGGTGGCCTCACAGAATGGGGATACTTTGGAGACCCTCCCTCCACTGCCCTGTGGACCAGTTCAGACAGAACTCGACTGCCTTCTCTGTGTATTGTCAATATAATCAATAGGCAGTCAGCCTGTCACAACAAAGAGGAATGATGGAGACTGGGATGGATAACCGATGTAAATGTTGAAGGCAGAGTTGTGTTGAATCAAAGAATTTAAACTCTCTCTTTTTCCCTTTCCCTTAATCATGTTAAGTTTCCATATCTCTGGGGAAACATTGCTTTCAGTGGCCATCAAGATGGAGAGGTTGGGGCTGGCCTGGTGGTGTAGTGGTTAAGTTCGCATGCTCTGCTTTGGTGGCCCAGGGTTTGCCCATTCAGACCCCGGGTGTGGACCTACATCGCTCATCAAGCCTTGCTGTGGCAGCGTCCCACATGAAAAATAGAGGAAGATTGGCACAGATGTTAGTTCAGGGCCAATCTTTCTCAAGCAAAAAGAGGAAGATTGGCAACAGATGTTAGCTCAGGGCCAATCTTCCTCACCAAAAAAGAAAAAAAAGAGATGGAGAGGTCGTATGATCAAATTGCAGAGGTAATTGTTAAGCTAAATTAAACTGACAGGAGCTCAAATGAGGCTTCTCTGTTGATTGGAGCTTCGTTCACTCAACAAGCAGAATACACCTTGTGATCCTGTCCAGATATTGGGCATAGCCTGTTGTGGAGGAAGAATTAGCCTTCACTGATTTTTTACAACCTCTTTGGAGGAGAGCCTGGGTGTCAGGCTGTATATATTTCTTTTGACTCATGGTTCACAAGAATACTATTATTACAGAGTGTTTCTTGTATTGGACAACCACTGTTTTATTAAGTGACTTCAGAGAGATCTGGACACCAAGGAGTTAGATGAGCTGTCAGGAATTTCATACTGCAGAAAATGGAACGCTCTTATTGTTTTCTTTATTTCTTATCACTAAATTCCATTACACATTGGTCACAACTTTCGGGGCAGAGCATTTCAAGGTTTTATTGTGCTCCTCTAGTTGTTAGCCAGCTGACCCCTGGCCCCAGGATTTCTTGTTCCTCACAAGTTAGTGTTCGTCATTCTCTGGGAGACGTTCAGTAACTGTCCAATGGAGCTTTCTAAGTGCTTCTTCTTCACTCTATTCTTTTGTTGTCATTTTTAATCTACAGAAACGTTTATCTCCTTTTCCTCGCATAAACCATATTTGAATTTATAGCACTATGTCAAGGGGCATATTGCTAGTTCATCTCTTTGCCTATTAATAACTCCTCATTTCTATGTAATGCTCTTATCTTTTCAAAGTGTGCTTCACGTCTTTATTTTCATCGTATTAGATGGTTGTATAATGTGTGACATTTCCATAGGGGCTTAAGGTAGGTTCAGGCCCCATTTGAAAGGAGTGGTTGCCTATTTGATCCTCCTGCTCCCAGCTCAGACACTTGACCATGCACAAGCTTGGATCTCTCAGGTCAAGTTCCTCTTTTTAAAAATACACTAGAGGTGAGCTGGCCCAGTGGCGTAGTGTTTATGTTCATGTGCTCTGCTTTGGCGGCCTAGGGTTTGCCGGTTTGGATCCTGGGCATGGACCTACACACTACTCATCAAGCCATGCTGTGGTGGTGTCCCACATACAAACACAAAAACAGAGGAAGATTGGCACAGATGTTAGCTCAGCGACAATCCTCCTCAAGCAAAAAGAGGAAAATTGGCAACAGATGTTAGCTCAGGGCCAATCTTCCTCACCACAACAAACAAACAAAAAACACTAGAGGTTCGTTTAGCTTGGGTCTTTATACAAAAGCAAAAAGAGTTAGTTGAGAACAACTTTATGGAATGAACTGATATTAAAAAAATAAAAATTGTAAGAGCTATAATCTATATGGGAGCTAAGAAATCCTTGTCCCTTAAGATCAGATAAAGATTGGTTCAAACTATCAACCCCCTTTCCGACTCCTACGTTCTTGCATTAGCAGAGGCACCTTTGGTTCTGGTTTTCTGTCCCTGCAGAGTTTCTATTTTCTCCTTTTGGGCTGATGCTGGTCTTCTTATTCTGACCTAGATGTGAGACTCACATGGTTTCCTTACTGTATACACACACATACGCACACACACCCCCCCTTCACCTATATAATCCATTTGCCCAAGGTTTTTGCATGTGGCAGCCTTTGCTGAAGGTTTGGGGAGACGAGGAGAGGGTTTGAATGACAACCATGAAAATAACTTCAAATTGTGTATTAGTCATTTAGTTCCTAGAAGTCCTCTAGCATCTTTGGCATGTTAGTCAGCTCTCCTCTTTGTCTTGTATCTTGCTTCCTCACCTCTCTTTTTCTCTTCTGTTGACTAGCCCCTGTTTCGCTTTTTTTTTTTTTTGAGGAAGATTAGCCCTGAGCTAACATCTGTTGCCAATCCTCCTCTTTTTGCTGAGGAAGACTGGCCCTGAGCTAACATCTATGCCTATCTTTCTCTGCCTTATATGTGAGACACCACCACATCATGGCTTGATAAGTGGTGCATATGTTTGTGCCCAGGATCTGAACCAGTAAACCTCGGGCCGCCAAAGTGGAGCGCGGAAAATTAACCACTCTGCCACTGGGCCGGCCCCACTGTTTATTTCTAATGCAGAACAGTTTATTGGTCACACTCGTTGCTTTGTCTCCTCAGCTGACCTCAGCACTATTGGCATTTTGGGCTGGATATTTCTTTCTTGTGGGGGTTTGTCCTGTGCATTGCAGGATGTTTAGGAGCACCCGTGACCTCTGCTCACTAGATACTACTAACACTGCCTCCCTCCCCCACGACCGCCAGGCTTAACAACCAAAATGTCTCCAGACAGTGCGAGCTGTCCTGGTGAGGAAATTTATCCCGTGGAGAACCGTAGCCCATGCCCTTGGGTTTCAACTTTCACCTCAATGCTTTGTTCTGAACAAAAGCTCTTCCTGCCCTGAAAGGAGTTCTAGGACCAGCTATTAATACACCTTTTTCCATCCTCTTGGTTAAGTGATACTTGTCAATAAACACTGTCTGCTGGGCACTGTGTTAAGCATTTTATATACATTATATTATTTAACCACGTGCAGTTATCAAAAGTTACTTCAAGCCTATACATATACACTCATATATTGTTAACTACATGCATTATACACACATGCATATATTTATGTACACACCATACACACACGTAAACCAGGTGTTCTGGAATCCTCTGGCCTCATGGATAGAATGGTTAAAGTGGCTTACACACACCCCATCCCAAGTACTGTGGACGTCCCTCAGTGCTCTCCCCGGTACTTCTGAGGCTTTCTGAGGCAGGGCTTATATTTCCTGCGTTGGTCCTCAGCGTAGTCTGTTTCTCTGTGGTCACCTACTCCAGTCAATGCTCCCGGATCCTGTGGTCACTGTCCTCTCTGCTTTTGCCCAGGCTGGACACTGGCCCCTGCTCCTCTTTGTCTGTAATTTCCGAAAGCAAAATCAACACAATGCTGTTCACGTTGTGAATAGTAGACTTTTTTTTGAAGGTCTGGGGATGATGAAAAACAAAAACTGCCTCAGGAAGATTAGGAATGACTTAAAATCAAATATCAAACATCACTGATTTTTAATGTCTCTTGGGCATGTTTTGGCTGGGAATTTCTCACTAGTTGCCTTTGTCCTCAGTCCTGGGTGCTCTGTCATGTTACCAGCCTCTCTTTCTCTACCCGTTGCCTGCCAGGCCCAACCCATAAGTCACCTAACATGTGAGCATTCTCTGTCTGTTCCTGTCTCCTGCTGGTCCACATGGAGCACACTGGGCTGGTTTCTTCTTTGTCTTAGACCTCTCATTCTAACTGGAGGCAATAATGGCTCGTTTGGTCTTTGATTGCCCAATATCACACGTTAAACTACAGCATCTTTATCCCTTGTGTTTCTGTTGTTTTAGCTGTTTCTTCCTCCTGGGTTCCTTCTACCCAGGAATGCAGCATGGAGATTCTGGAACTGGAGGAGGTGGGGCTCAGAAGCACATGCCTGCCAAGTGTTTCTCAATGATATAGTTTAGGCACAGCTGCAGGGCTACAAGGCAGAGTTTGAAAGAGTCTTACCGATCCGCCTGGTTTTTGGTGGGAAGAGAACAACATTGAAACATCTGTCTTCATAAGTCAAAAAGCCATTATTCTGTTACTATTTTCCAGTCACAGTATCAGATATTCTGGCAGAGGTAGGGGAGTATTTGCTCATTAAACATTCATGCTCATTTACAACCACCTTGGGTGGTAAATGGAACAAATCATAGTATCATAACTACAGAACAAAAGAGAAGAGACAACAGAACATAAAATGTCTTGCAATATTCATTGTTTTTAAATCCCTCCCTCTGCACTCTCCTAGCACTTTGCTTGTTCCTCAGTGAGCCATCTATTTAACTTCACTTATAGTTAATTATTTACAGTTTGTAGATAAGGAAACTGATTCCTAGAGCAATTAAGTGATTTGACTAAAAGGAAGTGATGGAATAAGGAAAAACATTTTACAAAGTATGCAAAAGCTTTTCAGTTATCATTCCTAATATCCTCCTGTGATATTTAGGGAAGACCATTGATAATTAGATTAAATTAGATATGAGTTGAACAAGCATTTAATTCAGCACAGATGATCAGCCAGGTACTTGAAAATACTTGTCAAAGGAATGACTGAATTTTGTCTTGCAATTCTCATGGGTACCTTAAGAGGGAGTATTTTTCTAGATGTAAAAAGCAAAGCTCAGAGAGGAGAAGTGACTTGTCCAAGATCCTACAGCTAGGAATCAGCAGAAGCAGGATTCAAATGTTTAACTTCAAAGAGCTTAACTTCGCGATGCACTGCCACATTATCTGCCTCCTACCTCAGTTAGTTAAGAAAGTGTGTGCTTCACAGACATTTGTGAAAAGGATTTTGATAAATAAATAGGGCTACTGTAAAGACAGAGCCCACTTAGCTGTATTCCTGGTAACCCACACATGTCTGATCTAATCCAGGTGGGATTTTGGAAATGAACATAATCCTTATATACGTGGTCTGAAGACTGAATAACTTCTGTGGTAGCCAGCCTCCGAGATGGCCCCACCAATCACTGCCTCCTGGAATTCGTGTCCTGTGGAGTCCCCGCACAGGTTATACCAGGGCTGGTCTGTGTGGACAACTGCATGTGGCAGAAGTGATGGTGTTTTGCTTTGGTGGCCAAGCTGACTAAAATGTATGTCCTTTACAAGAAGAGGGTATGAAAAAGACTGTGGCTTCTGTCTTGGGCACCATCTCTCAGGGCTCAAACTGGGGGAGGTCTCACGAGTGCTTCCTTCAGTTTTCGCCTAGTCACCTCACTTGCCTTACCCTAGTCCCTGCTCCTCTACCCTCTTCAGATCTCTGGGGGAAGTTGGTTGCCATGTTGTGAACAGTCCAGTGACTGAGAACTGAGGCCTCTGGTCAATAGCCAATGAGGAACTGAGGCCTGGCAAAAACTATCTGATGAGCTTGGAAGTGGCTTCTTTAGCTCCATTTGGCCCTAGAGATGACTGCAGCTCCTGCTGACAGTTTACTGCAGTCTCATGAGACTCCCGCCCTGAACCACAACCACTCAGCTCAGCCCCTTTCAGATTCCTGACAGCAATTCAGCGCTCACTAGCCCTTCTCAGCTCACCATCAGAACCACCTTTGTACATGAAAGACTTTGACTCCTCACTCCTTTCTTTCTTTCGCCAGGATCCCCACTCGTTAAGAGGCAGTCATAGTTTTAAATAATAATAGCTCTTCTCCCTTATCCTGATTGGATAGGAATTTGTAAGCACCTCAAATGAAGAGAGCCAAAGCACCCGTTACCCAAGGTTTACATTTGTTCTCTGAATGAAGCTCATCAATATCCCACACGATCCCTTCAGTCACAGTCAGCAGGTGTGATGGTTAATTTTATGCATCAACTTGACTGGGTCACAGGGTGCCCAGATAGCTGGTAGAACATTATTTCTGGTGTGTCTGTGAGGGTGTTTCTGGAAGCGATTAGCATTTGAATTGGTAGGCTGAATAAAGAAGATACCCTCATCAATGTGAGTGGGCATCATGCAAACTGTTGAGGGCCTGAATAGAACAAAAAGGTGGAGAAAGGGTGAATTTGCTCTCTGTGCTTGAGCTGGGACATCCATCTTCTGTCCTCGGATACCAGCTCTCCTGGTTCTGAGGCCTTTGGGCTTCAAGTGGAACTTATACCATTAGCTTCCCTGGTTCTCAGGCCTTCGGGTTTGGACTGGAACTACACTACTTGCTTTTCTGGGCCCCCAGCTTGCAAATGGCAGATCATGGGACTTCTCAGCCTCCACAATTACGTGAGCAATTCCCTCATAACAAATCTCTTCCTATATATCTATATATCCTATTGGTTCTATTTCTGTGGAGAACCCTGACTAATACAGCAGGTTTGGGAGGTGGTCAATGGTTCACTGTGCACTAGGGTGCACTCTGGTCTTTGATGAAGTGTGGCACCAGCACTGCTGTAGCAGCAGCAGGGGAGAGCCTAGGACTGACAGACAGGGCCCAGGTTTCAATCCAGATCCTACTTTCAACTAGCTCTGTGACTTTGATCAAGTCCTGCCAACTTTCTGCCTCATTTCTCATCTATAATAGGGAAATGAGATTATTTTAAGGATGGACTGAGATAATAAATGGGATAATGCATTGAAAAGTACAAAGGATAATACAAACGCTGTGTAGTATTAATCAGGGTTCTTGTTATTAAGAGTGTGTTAAATAATCCATCACATGATAGATAGTTTTAAGTGGAAATAAGGGATCTTCCCCCCAACACAGTAGATTTGCTTTACAAAGTGGAAATGATTCATCATCGTCAGGTTAGGTCATGATGGATGTGCCCATTCATTCAATCATTCATTCATTCAACATGTATTTACTGTGTGCCTGCTTTGTTCTATGCACTGTTTTAGGCTCTTAGGACATCTAAGTGAACACAACTGTCAAAGACTCCTGTCCACATGGAGCCTTTCCTGATGAGTGAGGGGCAGGGCTGCAGCCCTCTTGCCCCAGATGGCTGTGCTTGGAGCCAAAGGAGAATGCCTGAAAGCTGCTGTAAGCAATCTGAGGTCCATCCTATGAATCCGAACAGGCACTGTCCTAGAAGAGGGAGCTGGGTGCAAAACCAAAGGATTCAAGAACAAAGGAGAGATGATGAGTGGGTACCTAAAGAAGGCAAGATCTGGAGGAGTTCCTGAGGCAAAGAAAAAAGTGACAGCAGTAGCATTTTGGACAATTCAAATGCCCTTAAGGAGAAGGGATCCTGGTAAAAGAAGGGAGGGGTGAGTAGTAGTCAAAGCCCCTTCATGTAGAGAGGTGGACCTGATGGTGAGTTGAGGTGAAGGGCTAGAAAGAGCTGAACTGCTCTGCATAGAGAATAAGAAGAAACGCAAGTTTCAGGGGGTTCCAACTGAGCAGGAGTGGGAGGATCACCCAGGGGAGAAGGATATGAGGCTGAAGGTGGGCTCGGGCCACGATGTAGAGAGCCTTTCACCTGGCCAAGGATTTGGAATATAATTCTTCATGCAGTGGGGACTATGGATGGTTTTAGAGTAGAGGAATGAAATAATCTGAGCACATCTGTCTGGCAGCAGGATGTTGAACTGCCTGGAGAGGGGAAAAGTGAAAGAGGTTGTACGGGGAGGAAAGGGAATTGACAGTTCCCTCTCTGTTCAGAACAACATGGGTTTCCTCTCCTATAAAGTGGAGCAGTTCTCAATCCTGGCTGCACATTAGACGCCTCTGGAAAGTGCTTAAAAATTTACTAATTCTTAGGATTCACCCCAGACTCATTTAGTCAGATTCTTTGAGCTCATTTGCTGGACATCAGTCTTTTATTTTTAAAAAGATACCTCTAAGTGATTCTTATGTGTAGAAAGAGTAAGGAACCGATGCTATATGGCACTGGACAAACAGCCAGACTCTTATGTTTCATTGCCATATCTTCATAAATATTTAAAAGTGAAAGTATATCATCACTGCAGGCTTGACAAGTAAGATTTTGATCTTTAACTAGATTGTAGTGAACCCTCTCACAAGAAAAGAAAATGGTTGATAGAAGCATGAAGTAGCATTTGATGCTGGTCATTTGGTTTATCAGGGTGCAGACTGGAGGACGTGATTAAGTGTGAAAGCTTTGCAGCTGGATCTGCTTGCTTGGTTCACTTTCCAGCCAAGTTTAAACCCTTGTTCAAACTTACCAGCTGTGTGACCGATTATAAGTTGCTTAACCTCACTTTGCCTCAATTTACTCCTGGCGCATGGTAAATATTTAACTAATGTTAGCTTTTATTGTTAGTGATCCTGAAGAATTTCAGTGCAAACCCAAAGATTAAGATGTTGTTTTAGGCATGCTTGTTTTGAGTCACTTCTGATTAGTTTTCTAGTTAGATAGGCTCATAGCAGATGGTGGTTGACCAGAAAAGATCCAATTGATTCAAGATAGTTTTAAACCCCATCTAAGGATTTTCTTGGAGGTCTTGGTTTTCGTCAGAATTTTGGAGATCATCTCAGTACATAAGAAAGATGCCAATGCACAAAAGGAAAAATGTTCCATAATATAATAAAAATCACCTACAAATGGACCCATAAGTCTCAGGCCCATTAGATATGACCATTTCTTATTGAGTTATAGATGACCATCACGGTGAGTTGCTAGGGCAAATTTTCAAAAGTCACTCTATGTCCTTTAATCTGAAGGGCTTTCTAAGTTAAAAGGATGGACTTCTGTTGGCCATTCTTTTTTTTGTACAGGGATCTTTCTGGAGGGTGGCATTGGGAGTTCTATGGATTAGCACACCTTTCTTTTCTGTACCCCACCAGCCTCCAGTTGGGCTTTAGGTAAGCTCTTCGTTCTTCTAAGCACAAGACACTTTGATGAGAAGAGGGAGCACCATCATTGGTACTCATTTCCTCTCAGCAAATTGTTTTTGCTGTTTTGACCTGTTGAACTTGTGGCTCTGTGTCTTGCTACTGGATCCACCTCTTTTGAAGTCTTTGATTTGATTGGTGGATTTATTTCAAGGATATGACTAGATTTGCTCCCTTTCATCCTAATGTCAAAAGAAATTGGAAAATTCTTTTCTGGTTGTTAAGAAGGAAATGAAAATCAGTGCAGGTTAGAATGGACTGGGCTTGTAGTGAAGTGGGGACCACCCTGGGAGCTTGGGGTGGGGAAGTTTTCCCCTTGGGTGGCTAGACTGTGAGCCTCTGGACGGCAGGAACCATACCTTCTAGTCGGTGTATTTCCCACAGTGCCTAGTGTGGGTGCCTGCACTTGGCAAATGCTCAATATGTGTTGCCTCAAAAAGCTGTGTTTGATCTGGATATCTGAACCACTGCTGCTATTTTAGATGCAGGAGAGAATACCAGAGGTTATTTTTCAGGGCCTCTGCTTCTGGGCCAGAGGTGGGAATCTTTGGGGGATAAGACAATCCTCAAAGTGGAAGTTCAGTCCAGTCTTCTGTTCAAGGGCTTGTTAAGTAAGAAGAGGGCCAAATAGGAGACATGATCTTCTAATTAGAGCTTTGGAGCCAGAAAGACCCCAAAGTTGTCACCCTGCCTGCCTGTTGCAATCCAGCCAGACTGGATTTATGACAGCTGAGATATGTAAGGTGCCATTGCACCTGTTTACATTAGGGACTTTGCCTTAATTTATGAGTTTGCCTATGTACTAAATCATGAAAGCTTTCTGTCTGCTTTTCAATGAAAACATTTGACTTGCTTCCAAACGGAAGCGCATAATGAGTAGACACATGTCTCTCTCCCCCAAACCCAGCTGAGCCACTTAAATTTGCTTCTCTTTTCTCTCTTTTCCTCTGTATGAGTCTTCTCCTTTCGTTTTTCTGTTTCTAAAGCAGTCCACTGAAGTGTAATTGCTCAGTGCCTTGCTAAGTGTTTGAATTCTCTTGGGAACACTTATGTGTTTCCTAATGCAGGACTGAGTCTGGATGAGTTTCAAGCAAGCGGATGATGTGGCTTGGCAGGAAATAAGGGAAGCCTTTTACTCTTTGAGGGTGCCAGGGTAGCATCACTATCAGATCAGCAAATTTGAATAATTGTGGAGCACTGGGGCATGGGCAATGCCATGCCTATGATGTGGATAATATTGCTCAATTGGTGATCATTACTAACATGCTTTGAATTTCTCAAGAAGTTAAAAATCACTCCATTGGACGTTCATTAGACAAAAAGCTGAAGATTTATGGAAGCTACAATAGAAATGTGGGGATAATAGAATATGAGACAATGATCCTTCTCGTTTTAAAGATAGTAATATTGCTACTATCACTGCCACCACTAGCTAAAATTTGCAGGGTACTTCCTATGTTCCAGGCACTATACTAACTGGTTTATGTGCATTCCTTCGCTTTACCTTCATTGGCTCACATCCGTCTTATGAGGTCGGTACTACTATAATTCTTAATCTACACTTGAGGAAGCGGATACTTAGAGAAATTAAATAATTTGCCTGAGGCTCTCTAGCCATGAAATGCTGGAGCTGAGATTTAAGCCTATGTATATTTGCTCAAAGCTCATATTCTTAACTGATATGCTACATATAAATATTATCACTGTAAATATATATGTTGACTCAATATTGGAAAATTATGTTAATTAGACTAGATCATTTTCTTTAGTGGTATGAGCATATATGGTGGGCATGTGTAGGTGTGTTTTTGCCATACTGTGCTGGTGAGAAAGTAAGTAATAGAAATGGACAAGCTACAAACCTGAGCTTGGAAAGGCAAGATCCATCAGTGGGGAGTAAGGATGCGTCTCCCCACTGTCCTGAGCGTGGGTTATAAACGTGATATCCCTGAATCAGAAAAATCAAGCCTGAAGGGGAGAATGTTACAGGGCTGAAATGTTTAATTCAAGGAAAGTGGTTCTGGCAGTTGTCCTTGATTGTAGCAAGATGTTTAGTTAGATTGCGGTCATGTAGTAAGAGACAAGATGGTTCTCACTGTGTGGAGGCCAGAAGCTAGAGGTGAAGTTTAGTGAAGGGCCTGTGAACACTACTAGCCAAACTAGAGCCAAAGGCACATTATTCATGATGGTGACCCTCTGAGCAGTTAAAAAAACTCCTGCATTAATTATATTCTGCCTGTGTTTTATATATATGTACTGTTGATTTTCACTTAGTTTTTCTATCTTTCTTCCTGCAAGAAAAATTATTTTCGAAAATGTCAATTTGTATTAGTTCTGATGAGAAAAAAAAAATTTAGGCCCAAGAAGAACATTTGGGATGCATTGAACCCCTGGGGACTGGAGTGGAAGTATTGGGATAAAAACGAGGGCAACACAAGGGGAATGGGAAGTTTCAGGGGGAAGGTGGTGTAGCTGCTCTTACTGCCACTCAGTTTGCTCTATAGAGGTCTGCTTTCTTCAGCCTTGGTAGAATTTTTATCAGATTTCTTTCAGGCATGAATCTTTAACAGAAGTAAAATATAGAAATTTTAATGTTAAATGGATCACCTTTCTAATAAAGGACAAAGAAAATGAAGATAAATTAACTTGCTAACTAAATGGAACTTACAGAAAAACTTTAACGTGCATCTTGTAGTCATAAATTTTATTTCCATATGTTAGTGATTTTAAACTTCATTTTTTTGAGATTTGCTATCACAAGTAATGTTTTACCAATAATAAAGGAAAGAAGTTTGCAAAGACATTATTAATATTTCATATTAATATTTTAATATTATAATATTTTATATAAGTATAGGATAGAGTGGAAGTAAGGTTGTATCAGTCAGGATAGGATAGGCTTTGTGCAGTAAGAAACAACCCAATGTCTCAGTAGCTTAAAATAATCTAGTTTTCCCTTATTCTTACTGTATGTCTATTGTGGGTAATCTGGGGGCTCTGCTCCAGATTATTCACACTCAGGAATAAAAATTACCAGAACCTTATCACATGGAATGTTTCTAGTCTCTATGGCAGGCAGAGGAAGTGGGCAAATCACTCATTGGCTCTTGAAGGTTGGAGGAGACACGTATAACTTCTGATTACATTTCATTGTCCAGAATAAGACATATAGACTTGCCTATCTAGAAGAAGGAGGGGAAGTGTGATCCTACCACATAGTTAGAAGGAGAAGAATTAGAAGATTGGGAAATAGGCTGATGACTACCGTAGAGGTGAATCCCTTTACCACTGTCTCCCTCCCTCTCTTGCATTCGGGGAGGGTCAGAACAGCAGGGAGGAGAGGCTCACAGGCAGGAACTGTACAACCCCCAGGCCATCGACTGTTGCATAGCCCCCGGTGAAGCCTATATATGAATATCACCCTTCATGTCTGCCCTGGGCACCAAGGCTGTGAACTCACCTCAGATAAGGAGGGGAGGCTCAGTTCTCTCCAGCTGCTGCAGTTTGGAAGATCCCTCACTTGTTCAGTGGGAGAGAAGAGCAAGGACAGAAGAACCTCCTAACACAGAGCTTCTGGGAGTCCCTCCACAATTGACATAGGCTTCTAGCAGCCGTTTCTATACCTTTCCTCTACAGGTTTTCCCAGCCTCATCCCCAGCTACACAGCTCAAATCTGGTGCTTGAATATCTTCCCTTGCAATAAACTTTCTATCTCTACTCTTTCCTAACAGTTAACATTTATTTAGCACTTAACTGTGTGCCAGTCACTGTTCTAAGCATTCGATATATATTACTCACTTAATCCTCATAATAACTCAGGGAGGTGGGTATTGTTATTACGCTCATTTTACAACTGAGGCACAGAGAGGTTGAAGAACTTGCTAGTAAGTAGGGGAGCTGGGATTCAATCCCAGGAAGTCTGGTTTCAGAGCCCACTGTATGGCCTCTTAGCTACTAGCACAGTATGACATTTGGAGAAAATGAGCTCTATTTGGATGTGGTTATGAACAGTGAAATGCTCAATGATGCTGACAGCAGCTCACAGAGATTCTCAGGGACTAAAATCTTCACAAACTTAAACTCTTTATTTAAATCAATAGGACAAGACTAATGCAGATATACCAATGGCCCACAGCTTCCTTCCTCTTGACAGAGCGAAGGCAGAGCAAATTTACATGACTGAATGTTACTACAGCCTCTGGCATGACCAGCAGATGACAGGTAGGTAAACTGAAGAAATATCCTTGTTTTAAAGAAACACAGATTTCTAAAGACCTAAATTCTACCATGTGCATACAGAGCAAAGCTTGTAGGATTCCTGTAGGAAATCTTTATTACAAAAATAAACTTAAAAGTTTCTTAAAGCAAAAGGGGCCTGTCTAGGAATCAGTGCCAAGGTCATGAGAACTTATCCAATGGTGCGCTGCTAAATGTTTAACAATTGGCTTTCTGAAAAAACAAAAAAGCTTATTTGTAGTGGTTGCCCATTTCTGTGGTGTAAATATTTCCACCATTTCAGTTTCAAGTTTTCAATGTGGTATCACTGAATGCAGAATTGGAAAGAGATGCTAGGAATTGGCTCTCAAGAGCCAGAATGAGCCGGCTTTAGCATACCGGTGACATTAGATGGGAGAAAGAAGATACTCCATAGCCCAGATTTGTAAAAATATGTGTCAGATTTGAAACAGCCTAACTGAAATGAATATACTATTGTATCAGAGCTGTAAATGAAAAACACATTAATTATTTTTGTTTCTAATATCAGTGAAACAAATTCTTTTCAGACACATCCCAGTAATTCTTTTTGTGTTGCTCTTTGTTATTATTCTCTGGAAAATTTACTGTCAGGAAGCTGCTGCTTTCAAGAATTTCAACTCTGAAAGAGAGAGAAAGAGGAGGATTTGAGACCCTGGGAGTCAGGAGTGCTCCCGTGGCTGTGCAAGTGAGTAGCTGTCATCTGGGGCATGTCATGCATCTTGCAGTGAAGACACGCTTTTAGATCCTTCTGGTGCTGGCAGTTTATGGCTTGAAGTCTAGTTGAAGGGGATGGTGAGATGGAGAAGAGCATAAGGCAAAACAATGGGAGGGGGCAGAAAATGGAGAAACAGCAAGAAAAAGACTGAGTGGGGGTGCTGGGAGAGAGAAATGCAATTGAAAGGACCATGGAAAAACTAACATGAATTGAGAACCTACTATGTGCCAGTGATTATGAGTAATTATAAGATCATGATCGTGCAATTATAAGAAGCACTTTATTTATTTATGCTATTTAATTTAATTTCCATACTTACTTCATGAGACAGTGATTACTTTCAGTATTTTACAGATGAGGAAAATGAGCCCAGAGTTTAACTATTCACCAAAAGTTACACTCCCAGTGAGTGGCTGAGCTGGAGATCCAAAGACTGAACAGCTGTAAATCCTATGCTCTCTGAGCCGTGCACTGTAGTCTAAGTGGCAGGACGTCTGAGAGGGTGGTTGGTGACGATCATTCCAGGAGAGCATTCGGGCTGTGACTCTTGAGAATTATCCTTTGACAAGTTTGTTGATTTTCTTCACTGCTCTTTATCTTCTCACGTCTTTAAATCTTAAGAGGCTCCAGTCTGAATAGGGTGACTAAAGCAGCCCAGTAAGGGAGAAATTATCTGCTGGGATGCTGCCTCATTGCCCAGAGCAGTAGAACCCTGGCTGTTGGCTAGCTTAGGCTCTGGATTGGAAGTTGCCCTTTGGATCTCTCCAAGGGAGCAGTGGCAGACGGTAGGTGTCTGCTGGGCTTGGACTTAAAGGCTGGGAAAGACAGAAGAAAGAGGGGGAGAAGGCCAGGGACAGACAGAGATGTTGAAAGAATGGGCAGGTTTTTCTTGCCCAGTAAAGACTACATCATCAGAACAGTGATTCTGTCTCTGCGTCTGGCTTAAAATCAAAACTTGATTCAGACCTCTGCTTTAATGAGTAAGAAAATATTGATTAAAGGGGCCGGATTCCCTCAGCTCTCCAGCTCTGGCATCTTGCTGCTTTGATAGCACAAATCGATACTCTCTTGTGAAGGTTTAAGCTCTGATTTGTGAAATAAAAACTGCACCAGGGTCCAATAACAGCTGCCCTCAGGGCAGAGCCGAAGCATCCAGCAGAGAAACGGCAGCGGGCACTGGCCCAAGGCAACACATTTACTTCTGGGCGGCTTTTACCCAGGGCATGGAGCCCTGGGTCAAGGTTTGGGCAGCTTCATAAGTGACCTCCTGCTGTGGACTGACCAGGAAGGGACCAGATTCCATGCGTGTGCTGTCTTTATTATATTATACATACATGGATGGATATATCTCTCTCTAATATATAGAGTGCCATCAACTTGAATTGTAGGAATGACCCTGACTGTATTTGCTGTTGGGTCATTGGCATCACACAGCCTGGTTCTGCCTTTCCATTTTGTGGGGAGGTCCTCAAGCTGAAGGAATCAGTTCTCATGCTAGATATGTGTGCACCTGCTTTGTTCTTGCTCACTGAAATTGAAGGTTTAATATTTTATTGGGCTGGAGAATGAGCACACATTTTGGAGTCAGACAGACCTGTTTTCAAAGCCTATCTCCCACTCTCTAGTTGTGTGACCTTGAGGAGATCATTTGACCTTGCTAAGCTTATTTTCTTGTCTGTGAAATGTAGATAGCAGTGGATTCTACCTCCTAGGATTATTGCAGGGATTCAGTGGGATCCTGCAAGGAGGATGTTTGGTGGACTGGCTAGTATATAGTAAGCACTCCATAAATGCAGCACTATAATATCCCAGTAATTCTCCTGGGTTACTAAGGAATATACATATATATATACTCATTCACAGCACTAGTTGGGGTCTGAATAAATGGGGAAGGAAGTGTTACTCTGTCCAAGTGACTATTTTATTTCTCATCTACCTTGTATCTCTGGCTCTAGAGCCGAGTCAGCCATTAACCAGCTTCAGGAAGGCCTTCCTGTGTGTCCTTTCCCTGTCACCAAAAGCATAAAACAGAGTCACAGGACGTTAGCACTGCATCAGCTGTGTGGCCTTGGCGACAGATGCTTCAGCTCTCTGGGCCTTTGTTCCCTTACGAACGGAGGGTAAGGTCATAGGGAATTTGACATCCCTAAGGCCTCTCTGGTGCGAATATTTCTGTATGGTTCTATGTTCTATGTTCTGTTTCCTGGCACTGTGCCTTGTCCTCTTAATGTTGGGCTATGACTTGAAGACCTGCTCTGCCTTTTCCACAGTCTTCTCTTTCTCCAGGGCGGGGACTTCCCTGGCTGCTGTGGCCTGCTTCTTCCCACCTTTTCGGGTTCCATTCCTTGACCATTTCTGTATGAGTGATTCTTTTTCTGTCTAACGTCCTCTGGTCCCCACTCCCTGCTTTTCCTTCTCTAAACCCTGCTGTGATGTTTACCGATTTGGGGAATTAAATGACCCTAAACCGTGTACCTGTTGCGCTAATAAATGAGATAAGCAGGGTATTTTGCAGATGTTCAAACCAGATCCTCCCCTCTAAGCTGCTTGTTAAATTCTGCATGACTCCTTTCCGTGAAGACCAGAGGAAGAAACTCCTCTGATGACAGTATTGGGAATAGGTGTTTATAAGTAAGCGAGCAAGCAAATGCAGGGCCACTATGCGTTACTTAACTGATGGTGTCTCTCCCTTTGCTTTGGTAGCTGGGAAAGTGAGAGCCAGACTTTGTGGCTCACTTCTAGCGAGATTATGTGGCAGGCGTTTTATGTCTTAATCTCCACCCTGAGTTCATTTTGCTTTTCCTCAATTTATTTTTCCTTCATTCAAATCTGTCACTTCTTTGTTTAAAAAAATGCTGGCATACTTTTGAAAGTTATGCCATGCCCTTTTCAAATAGGGTGAGATCAAAGTAAGCAGATGAGTGCATTCTGTGCATTTTGCAGAGCTGAGTGCTTGACCCAATCTAAGCGAAAATCAGTGAGAGAAGGCTCCCTGGAGAAAGGCGCTTACAGGATACCCATACATCAACGATGTGCCGTTCAGTCTGTCATGAAATCCCCCAAATGGCATGTGACTTGACATCAGAAGGTGTAGGGTTGAATTACAGAAAACCTCATAAGACATTTTTATTAGAGTGGGAAACATTTGCCATATAACATAACCTCATCATCCTGTTACATTTGTGTCCACACTCAAGGAGGGGGGCAGAGATTATATATTCTGTCTATTACAGGTAGTTGATGTAATTTAACATCAAATATTGTCTCAACTGGAAGTAAGAACTTCCTGTATGCCTCTGGCCCTTCTTTTGACCACCGTTACCATATTATGATCCCAGGGCACTACTGTGAGTGAGAAGCACAAAATCTCTACCCATCAATTCCGTGGCTTTAAACACCATGACTTTCCTAACTCTGGCTTTGACCATAAGCTCTGGCCAAACCGTGGAGATTTGTCTTACTCTCCAGAATCAACCCATTGCATCTACTGACCTTGGATACCCACCTGATCCCCATCACCACAGATACCACCTCCACCTGCTATCCCTGTCCCTGCCCACAACCCATTTTCTTCTGCCGCTCATTCTCTCATGTAAAGGCAATGGATGCATTTTAGTAATGGATCTTTGTGGAGAGTGAAAAAAATTAGTATTCAAAGAGATTATGTTATGGTGTGGATTAATAGGCAAGGTGGCTAACACTTTGTCAGGGCCTTAGCTGTGTCCTTAAAAGAGCTCCAGGTGGGTTTCCAGCTACAGAAACCACACACAACCTTCCTTTCTTAGTAACAGCAGCAGGATGCTCTCTAGTGACAGAACTTTCTTTGCTTCCAGTGACTGCCTTTAGAGAGTAGGAGTGTCCTCTCCCAGTGAGACCTGTGAGGACACCTGGGTAGAGGCTGCACAGTCATTGCAAATCTCTCCTGATGCTAAGCCCAGGGAATCCAGCATTACCCAGAGACAGAACGATTGTGTTCACCACTTATTAGGGAAGATTCAAGCCATCAGACTAGAAACATTTTTTTGCAAGCAAAATCCTGCTTTCAAAAGAATGCAAATCTTCCAATAGTGGGACTTTTCATCCTGGCCCTCCTTTGTCTCAAGTTCACAGAACATCCTAGACATCACCATAGCCTCCCTAGATGCCTATAAACTGCTGGCATCACTGGGTGTTCATTTTCCAGATCTGGAAGTATGTCAGGAATATAGCCCACAACAGTTCCAGAATATCTGAGGACAGAGAGCTGGTTTTAGGCCATGCATTCCAATAGACCTATCACAACACCGTAGCGTCCTGCCTGCTTCACAAAACTCATCGTCCTTAAACGTGTCATGTTGAGAACTTGTCACATGGCTCCACTTAAATGCAAGGAGGGCTGAGAAATGCGGTCCACCCACCAGTGGACCCAGAAAGAGGAACTAGGCTTGGTGAGCATCTAGATGTTTCTGTCACAGTTTGGAAAGCACAATGGAGTCCTCCATTGAATAGCCGAAATAAACCTTCTAAACATCTGCTAACAGAAGATCCAAACAAAAGTCACAAAATTAATTAGTAAAAGGCAAAGGAGCGTTAGCTAAGGGAAATAAACTACAGCCTAGAACTATAGTCACTCCCATTTCTCAGTGAGAGAAAACCAAAACAAAACAAATAAAACACAGATCTTTAGTGAATCTGATTCCTGCCTTTGGTTGATATTCAATGCAATGAGAAATGACGACGTGAGCTTGAGCTGCCCCCAGAGGCTGAGAAGAAAGCATCCAGAGATCAGTCACCCAAAAGTTCTGAAGAAACAGGCATGCTCCGCTTTGTCCAGTTGGCAGTAAAGAACAGGATGATATATGACCTTGCTAAAAGGGTCGTGATGAAACTTGGGACTTTCCTAGAAGACGGAGTAATTCTTTCTCTTAAAATTCCCATATAATAATAATAATAACCACAAAAGTGAATATTTATTGAATGTTTACTCTGGG